CCGCGTGATAGAGACACGCTTTCTATAAAATCGTAGGTGCCTGGTACATTTCGAGACGTATTATTTCGCGTTTCTTTTTTGTTCCTACGTGCCTCATTCGTGTCATATGTGCTGTGGCTCGGCGAGCTCCAGGGAGATCGGCAGCGTACATACGTCCTGCGTGCATGTTAAAAGTGGCTGGTTGGTATAAAAAACAGCAGAGAACTGTTGTAGTCCTGTCACATTCTCGTGTTGCTGGTACAACTGATTGATTTCAATCAGTTGGTATTCAGTTTTTGAGGGTTGAGAGATTGTGGTTTTATAGAAGTATTTCAAGCGGAAGATGAGTTAAACGATTACGAACCAATTACCGGCGGAGTTATTTGTTACCGATCCATGCGCATGGAATTTTCATGGTTCAAAATATTGATTTAGCTCCACAAGTTCAAACGATTTCAAATCAGCTCCTTTTCATTCTCACAAAATTTGTGAACTCATACTGCACTTGGCCCTTTGAAGTTAAGGTGGGAATTGAAAAATTGAACGTAAGGATAATTAGTTATTAATTGGTTAGGAAGATGATGTTCTTCTGACATGGTTCATTTACTACTCAGACAACATTGGAATAATAGGACAAAAAATCGAGGCTATTATGTCATAAGGTGTTGCCCTGAAAACAGCCGATTAATCCTACCAGCAAGTTATCAACTTGGAAATTAATTAATAACAAATTTTCTTGACATTCAATTAAAAAGTGGTTTTCAACAAAGTTGTTGCTGGGAAATTTTTACGAAAGAGCCCCCTCTCTTTCGTAAGGGGGCCCCCCCTGGCTCTGATGGACAACTTTTCTGTAAATCATTATGGTGCAGGGCTAGAACGATGAGGACAAAAAATATAATTTTCTCATAGTAATTCCCATATAAACTTCAAAGAGCAAGTGCAGAATTAGTTCGCCACCAAATATGCTCAAATTTTGCGACATTGATCAGCATGATTTGGATCCGATTGATCTTGGTGGATCAAATTGATAGGTATTATGCAGCTGGCAGAGAACCAATAGTTCGGAGGGCCCTTTAAAAAAAACTTCGTTGTTGAAATTGATTCGTGTGACTTCATCCATCAGTATTTTCAGCCTTTCAAGCTGTAGCCGACATCACTAGTTAATTCAAACATGTACCTAAATTTGAGAACGGTTCAAATATATTTAGATAAAAAGCATGGTGTGTTCGTCCCAAGTAGTAGTCAACCTGAAAATATGATGAGAAATAAGAATACTGGATTGTAAATTTTGGGATGAATCCAACATATTTGTCACACTCAACGGTCAGTATCTGAATCGGAAACCAAGTTTTCCAAAATGTTTATTTAGTAGGCTATATCTTTGAAAGCTCTGCGGAGCCGAAGGACTAAACAAATATTACAATGGAGATCTAAATCGATTTCCTATACTTTTTTTTGTGCTTGCAACGCATCGAATCTCGATAGATCCGCAAACCCTTGCTACCGAGGATGCTGATGTTCGTTTTTGCATGCTTTATCGGCCTCCTGAGGGCACGTCCATTATCACCACCTCTTCATGCAGCACCTCTACCACTTCCTCTGTTGATTTGCTGGTGCTGTCTGACAATGCACCTACAGCCACTATACCAGGGTACGAACTGCTATCCGAGAGGCAAAGAATTTTGTAGTTCTTCAAGAAACTTCAGGAAACTTTCTTGAAGTGCAGATTTTTCTTTAAAGTTCAGCTAACTTTGTAGAAGCTCACCGAAGTTCAGTAAACTTCGTAGAGTTTCATCGAACTGCTTCGATAACTCTTCTTCTACGTACCTGAAAAAGTTATAAGACAACGACACTTCACACACCTCGCAGCTCGTAATTGACAGTATGGGCTGAATGAGGCTATTCATACTGTCGATAATGTGATTAGTAACACTTATGCTTCATTTGACACTAATGTTCCGTTAACTGTTTTCACTAGAACGCTGTCCTGATTTTGAATGTTTCTTTCGTATAATTATTATATTTTGTTTTATGCATTAAGACCAACATATGTCAGCTGAATCATGAGCTAAATTTAGTGAAATTATTTGAAGTTCTGAAAACATGGAAAAGTTCAGAAAACTTCGTAGAAGTGGGAACTTTATACAAGTTTAGGTATCTTCGTAGAAGTTTATTGTTTAATGGCAGGGAACCTCTTTATTATTCAGGGACCTTTTTTATAACTTCAGAGTTTTGATAAAACCTCATGGACTTGAAATAGTTCAGAGAATTCCGCACAAATTCAGGAAATTTCGTGCGTCGAACTTTGCGGAAAATCAACGAGAAACGTAGACGTGAAGCAAGCTTTGATGAAGTTTTGTAGACTGCTTAATAATTCGAGGAACTGCGTATAACTTCATAGAAGTACAGGGCATTTTGAAAATGTTCAGGGAATTTCGCACAGATAGAAGACTTCAGGGATCTTCGGTTCAGTTTAGGGAACTTCATAGCAGTTTGTCAGAGATCTTAAAAGTCTCAATGAACTTCCTGGAGATGAAGATTTTGGACCATCGTTTAATTTCAAGGTACTTTGAAATTTGAGTAAATTTTCTAAAACTTAAGGAAATTTTGTAGATGTACAGGTAACGTTGCATAAGTAACAGTATATTCTTTCAGATATGCTCCCTAGACAGCCAGGAAGTTTTAAAAGATCAGCATTTGCTGATGTTCTTCTGATCTGAATTAGCGGGCTGCTAAAAAAAAAAGGATGACTTAAGAATGTGCTTAAGTTTTGGAATATCATAATTTTTCAAATGGATAGATCAACTTTCAACACGGTATTTTCCAAATTTAAACCATACACTCTGGCAACATGGCGGCAACATGGGTATTTAATTGGTTGATCTGTTGCAGGTTGTCGCAATGGCTCTACCACTTTCTGGTTTGTTTTAGCGAGATGGTGGCGCTTGGTGGTCACTTTGTGGAATTGGTGCTGATACTCAGGCGCTTCAAAGGCAAGGTCGTCCATTATCTAACCGAAAAGGTTATTTCTTCTTAGTGATTACGGACGTCGACGCGAAAACGATGCCATCGAAACCCGCAGATCGTACCGTGCCAACCAGAAAGCGATTTGAAACATCGGAACAGAAGGTCGGTAGACTTGGTGATATTAATAATTGGAATGGTAAATATTATAATAACATTGCTGCATTCGTAGCATTCCGATATAATCTATTCAAAATATATACCAGTTCTGTTGCCGATGAATGGTTAAATTACGTTGAAAATGTGCGAACGTCTTGCAACGGTCAAATCCCCGTACTAAACAATACTGATACTGAAAATATCGTGTCAACAGATGTTAGTCATGCAAGTGCAGTTAAGTGTTGAACCGGAAAAAATAAACAAAGAATATTCTAATTGACTGGCAAATTAATGGCTTTTGCTATTAGTGGATTTCAAGAATTTAAGCACTGCAAATATATGCTACCTTTCCTCTAAAATAGGAATGATTTGTGCAAACGCAAATGAAATGTCGGTCAAAGCAATCAAGTTCCAACAGCCTGTATTTCGCTTACCTTGCACCTTTCAGAACTTCGAGCTCTGCAGTTCTAGCATTAATCGTAGCACATGAGATGAGGCACATGAGATCAGCGCGAGCCTCGCGCACGCCAGGATTTTTGGGTGTCGCATTTGTTTCCCGCTCATATCTTATTCTCGCGTGTCTCTTTCTCGCTCGTCACATGTTGTTTTCGTTGCGACGGGAGACGGTTTGTTGAGAGTCTCGGCAGCACATTTTTGCACACACGAGGAAAATGTAACTCTGGTAATATCACAGAGAACAGACGACCAACTTCCGCCAAGAACTTTTTTTCCCTTGATTTGCTTTCCGTCGATCTTGTTTACCGTACTGAATCCCAATGCTATGGACGCCAGGAAGACAGTTCCCACACCTGGACCCTACCTATCGATCCATCATTTCATAGACCGAGGACCAACGGCTTTACTTCCCTTCCGAAGGAAAATCCCGGCGGCGTCAATTGGGATTGAACCTTAGCCCTTTTGGGGTGAGAGGCAATCACGCTTATTACTACATCACAATCACGCTTATCGATGAAGAGAATCGATCAATGGAGATTGGAGGTGACACGAGAATTTCCCACACTGCACTCCGCGACGGACGACAACGAATCACTGATTCAAGAGGCGTTGACATGCCAACATACAACTTCCCGAGAGAGACATCCCTCTTCCCCTGAACGAGCGCCAACTGTCGGGTTCGGATGTCTGCATCCACCTGTAACATTGAATTGCTCCTCCGAGAGATTAACCAGCTCAATTTCGACACATTATTTACTCATTCAGCAGGGAACCTTGGACCAAATTGGAAACTTCAGTGATTGTGGACAGAGTGACGAATAGTGCACGTGCACCACGACACCGTGTTTTTTGGTATCGACAACATCACCTTTGCTTGGTCATCCTCATAAAGCGAAAACTACGAAGAAAAAGCACTTCGGCTGGAGAAGCTGGTTTGCCACGAGCTGCTCCCTCTGAAGCTACTGAAGGATCTCGAGAAGGAGCACATCGGTCGGAGTTACTCCTGCCTTCACTTCTCTAAACAAACACCGGTACCGTCGTCCGGTTGGCTATGCTGGTGATGTCGTTGAGCACAGCAGAAATGCAATGGAGCGTTTCCAAAGCTTCTGTTACACTTGTCGCAACACTAATGTACGAAAAATTGAATTTGTAGCAAACTTCACAAAAACCAAATTTTCTCTGCACCGATTGGTCTGAAACCTTATCACGTGTGTAAAAACCCTTAGAATAAGATCTCTCTGCAGAAGTCGGTAGTTGTTACGAATTCGTGATAAACCGGCTAGATGTTTTTTTTGTAAAACCTACACTTTTTCACCAGTTTTTCAAAGCACTATTTGCCCACTTTGCTACAGCAAATACGTAGTCGCGATTTATGAAACGATCATTTAATAAGCGTGCACATTTTTCAACACAATTCACTTATCAGATTCTATTTAACGTACCCGCCTATCATCCAGATCCTTGCTTAGCACTTTGAAACATATCTTCGGTTCAGTGGATACTGGATCTGAGGATTAAAGGCAATGGTCGAAAGGTTAAAAGACAGTTGAATCCGAAAAAGAAACAAAACTTTTGATCAATCACCTTCATCCCTTGTACCTGATTGAAGCTGAGCCATGATCGACTCCCTTCAACGAACTAAGATTCCACTCGATCGAAGCAGCCAGCTCAAGCCACAGAAGCACCCGATTCCAAGTGTGGACCGAATCAAACTGAACAAGACGAAAACATATCACAAACATGGAAATCAATTCTCTGCGAATTCACGAGTTAATTAGCTCTCCCATGCGTGCCGATTGAGAGTAGTTCTATTTTGGGAACGCTTGACGCTGTTTTCTCAGAACCACCTTAGCGCCATTCAACAACAACTAGACTTGAATTAATTTATTCGTTTTGTGACATCAGTACGGTTTTAGACCAGTGCCATAATATTCGAGTATGGGAAACACGTTCGCGCACTTTGAACACGCCAATTGAAGTCCCGGTAATAATGGAACATTTCGATTTATCGTGACGCGTCATATTTACTAAACATATGAGTATAATTAGTTCAAAGACCATCGAACGATAATAAACAATGTGTATAACTGATAATTCAGTATTGCACTCCACCATTCATTATGGTATTATGGAATCATAAGATGTTTTTTTTCCCTTGATTTGTTTTCCGTCGATCTTGTTTTCCGTGTTAAGCACCAATGCTACCCACGCCACGAAGGCAGCTCCCGCACCTGGACCCTACCTATCGACCCATCAACTCATGAACCGGGGACAAACGGCTTTACTTCCCTTCCGATGAGCAGAGATTTTATGCCCCAGAAAATCCCGACGACTACTTTTCGATATAGTGTGCTTTCAGAAACCGCTGAAGAAGAGTTGTAGTCGGACGTACTTGAACGGCTATCGCACATCAAGGCTGGTGATGGTGTTCCAGAATTATCGAAAGGAGAAGATAATGGATTATTTCAGCTTTAAATCAAAATCACAACAAGTTATTCTTCTGATTTTTTTTTATCTTTAGGCAACATACCGTAAATACAGACTTAATCCATTTCGACTCCATGCTTCGACCAATAAAACATGAAGCTGCTAATCCATGCTTTACTGTTGGCTTGATATTTTCTTCTCGTTCCTTCCCTTAGCGACATAAAAAACGTAATAATTCATCTTCGGATTGGTGTTGAAGATAAAACTTCACGATGCCACCGTTAGAAATCATGTTGACAGTAGTTTCCCGATTGCGAAGATATCCGCTAGGCTGTTAGCAATTAATTGCAATCGATCGTGCTAAAGTTTCTATGATAAACATATATAGCACTTAAAAGTAGGCCAATATATATTAGGATGGGTCATCATGATCATTTTTTTAGAACAATGATTTTTTTGATTCCATTTGGGGTACCAAACAACTGTGCAAAATTTGGGGACGATTGGTTGTAACCTGGGAGGGAGAAACAGACTCGGAAAATGTGAATGTCAAGTGAAGCCAGAAATGAGCTGTCACAAATTGTCAGTGGGAGCCAGCAGTACAAAACATCAATCAATGGGAAGTATTGATATCGAATACAAAATATTTTCTTGCTTGAAAACAATTTGCACTGCAAAATTTTCGTTTCTTCAGTTCAGGAATCGGTATGTAATTTAGCTAAATTGTAGTGTATCAAGCATGTTATATCGTAAATTTGATAGTTTTCTCAAAATGGAGGGGGTTGTAGAGATATTCAGGTACGGTTACTCTAAATTTTCGGGTTCGTGTCGGGTACGAGTATACGAAGAAAATATTTTTGAGTTCGGATCGGGTAAGGGGTATATTTGGGTACGGGTAGCATCGAGGGGCACGCAAAAACTTCAACTCCGGCACAGGAAGCAGCCGTAATTAAATTAATTCCATTCATTACAGGGGTCAGGTCGGGTTCGGGTTTTTGAAATTTTTGTAAATTGGTTACGGGTTTGGTTCGGGTATTCAAATGTCTATATCCGACCATCTTTATGGGATTGTTTGTTAATGTGCTCAGACGTGGTCAAAACATCATACTCTGGCTCTGGGATTCCCACATCATTCCGGTACATGATATTACCTACGCGTTTATTATTATACCTGAGCAACTTGAATGAATTTTCATTCTCACTAGCTCTAATCCTTGAGCCCGAATGAGTTTCTTCGTTACACGCTGTACCACAGACCGGTTCACTTTGTGGTTCGAACTTTTCCTCCAAATCTAGATCGTTCCTGGCGACTTCCGGGTCTGAATCCTCTTCAGTGTTCTGTTCATCTTTTTCATCTCCAATAGCAACCCATTCAGGCACCACAGCAGCAAAGTTCGCGTAATTATGATCCAGAAGAGCCGGCGAAGAGTAGAGGGGACGGGATTTATAAAAGTCCAACAACCGATCGCTCTCTTCCGGTTCGTCTTCAGGAGGTAGCAAGAAAGCTTCAATCGACGGAACGGCATCTTTATTTTCGTTTTCTTCCCATTTTTATCGACGCGGAAGCAGTCCTCTAAGAGATGGGCCTGCAAATAATTAAAAAAGATCATAGCAACATTGATAAAATGCAAAACACTTGTACCGTCAACACTTACGCTACAGACTCGCGAGCCTGGTTTAATTTCGCCGGTTCCGGAATCCATCCGACAGAACTTAATCCATTGGGATCTTGTGATATAATCAGTAGGAAAGCGCAAAACACCCAATCCAGGATAATTCCTGCTGTTCCGGCCGCAGTATTTCACCTGACACTTCATTTTGGCTGATTCACTACGAGTCTCTACAAGTGATTTTTCAACTCCAACTTTCCACAAGCATTAAGTCATCCGACGGTAATACGTAAACAGCAGAGACACGAAAAACCGAAACCCCTCATTATGGGAACAAATTACTTGATAATTTTTATTTGCCAAGAATTTTCTTGCGCAATATTGTGGTTGATTTATTAGATTTTGTGTGTAGTATTTGCTTCTCCCTCCCAGGTTGTAACCAGGCTTTCCGCATTGAATTGAAATTTGTATGGAAATTAGTATGGGAAAACCTACTTTTTTGCATCTTTATTACTAGGGGCCACAATTTTGCACAAACCACGCATAAAGTATAGCCCAGAAAGTACCTAACAACTTTGCATAAAAATGTTATGTACTAGAATGCCCTTAAAAAAAGTTATAGCTTTTCAAAGATCAATGTTTCGAGTTAATGCCAAAAATCCCTTTTTATGCCAACACTGCCGGTGTAGCAATGAAAGTCAGAATCCAAATTGGTAGATAATAATGTTATCGTTTTGGTATGTTCAGATGAAATATTCAAACACAATAGATCTATCTCATATGCGTAGTTGAAGGGGGATGGGGTACAAGGGCACTATGGGGCATTGATTTAGGGGTGGCGCAAACGCGTCAAAGTTTGACTTTTTCACTCTCTAAAATCTCCCAAGAGGAGGGTACATGAAATTTCGGAAAACAAAAATTTTTTTTGATGCCAAATGTCTTAAAAATGCATGAAACGTCGAGATTTGGTGTTATCTCGATTTTTTTTTTTTTTCAAAAATCGACTTTCTGGGACTTTTTTCATGAGTTCTATATGGAATATAGAAGATTGATGAGTCGGCTTCTAAAACTGTTCACAATTGTCTCCAACCTGCTTATATATCGAATTAAACCACCATTTAGGATCTAATACGAAATAATTCACTAGGGTGGTCCAATTATTCTTCATTAGGGTGGTCCAAAAATCAAAATAGGTATGTGAAAACCATTACTTTTTACCAAACGCATGTAACTGAAAATATCATCATGTTGTGTTTTGGAATTTTTAAGAATCCAAACTTCAAAACATTTGATGATATTACTTTTTAGTATCTGAGACCACGTAAAATAGAAGCATAGACAGACATAAATCGTAGAATAATTCCGAAAATTGTACAGGACAACCGTTAGTGCTGTTTAATTTACAGTACAATCTGACGAAAGTACAATGACTTTTTAACATATCCACCTAATAAGGGACAACCCTTTATATGTGTTTCTTTTAAATTCCTACCCTATAGAGATGCCAAAAAAGTACCCGCATAAAGCATATTGTTTATCTGGCTTCCTTTTGGGTATTAATTAAAAAACACACACTAACAGTGTTCTCCTACAGGCAAGCAACAGTCTCAAGTACTTATTTCTACGTAAACTTTTCTACCTTAGCTTTTTCTACCTATGCTTTAGTATAAAAAAGGATGCGATCTGAGGATGTATGATCAATCAGTAGTGCGTTTGAAGAAGACAACAAGCAGGGAACTGATAGAGAATAGTACGACAGTTTGTTAAAAATGGTTGACATTTGGCTAGATGGAGAATATCTGCCGTCGTTCGGCCATTCTGTTAACTTGCCGACGTATAGTGAAGGTTTTCGTAAATATATGTTTCATTTGCGTGCTGAAAAAAAAAGTTGTAAGCTTAGTGCCTTCCTAACAATAAAGAAATTAAAGGATGCTTGGAAGAAAAAAAACTTAACACATTTGGTAAATGACATAAGCATAAAGAAAAAACTGTTACTATTTTTCAATACCTGGAAAGCCTTATTAAAATGCAAACTTAGAATGGCTAAAAAAGACGTCGAAAAAAGGAACACATTTCATGGATCATTGCGGAGTTTGTTTGATATCGGGAAGAATTTTAAGGCAAAAACCCGTGAAGAAAAGCAGGCGATGCAATATTTGTAAAAACAGCGGGAACAAGCTCATCTTGAAGAAGAAACTGAGGTTCTCCTCTCCCTACCAATGAAACCATTTCGTGTAGCGATTTTGAGGAAGAAGGGGCAAGCCAAAGACCGGATCAAATTTGTATGCAACCTCAATTGAAACATCATCACAAAACGACAGCCAGGCTGGGTCAGTGTACTTGCCTAGTACATCCGAAAGAGCTTCTCCAAAAACAGGTACGTTGTGATGTTTTACTAATGTTTTTTTTTTTTTTTTTTTAGATTATACACCTATTACCATCCATATTAATATATTTTGAACGTTCTAGTTTCTCCAAAACCAGCTTTGAAACGTAAATCGCAACTGATACGAGTTGTTACAGTTGAGGTAGCTGCTGCATTGGACCGCTGTAAAGTGAGTGATCGAAATGCTGTGTTTCTAATATCATCGATCGCTAAAGCTTTAGGGCACGATGTTTCATCATTATTGTTGAACAAGGAATCTGTCAGAATCGCCAGAGCAGGAATTCGCTTACAAATGCAACATGATTTAAAAGCGTCGTTTAAGCCAGATATAAATTTAACAGTACATTGGGATTCTAAGCTGCTACCTAACATATTACCATACAAAGCTCTGCCAAAAACCGAGCTCTTGGCTATAGTTGTATCAGGCGAAGGCATTAGCAAATTATTGGCTGTTCCACCCATCGAAAACTCTACGCACTATGGGGCATTTTCATACAACCAGGCGGTCAAAAATATTTCTATCATT